ACCCTGTCTTTTTTTTTTTTTTTTTTTTTTTTTTTTTTTGGTACTGGGGATTGAACTCTGGTCCTTGCACTTGCAAGTACCATGGCTTCTTTCACTCAGTATAATGCCTTTGAAATTCATCCAGGCTGTGTGTATCAACAATTCATTCCCCTTTATTGCTATGTAGTATTCCTTTGTATGGATATCCCAGTTTGTGGTGTCCATTCACTCACTGAAAGACATTTGGGCTGTTTTCTGCATTTACTGTATGAACCTCTATACAGATTTTTGTGTAAATAGACAATTTCATTTCTTTAAAGTAACTACCCGAGAGTAAAGTTGATGTCATATGGAAAGAATATGTACAATTTTATAAGAAAGTAGCAAATTCTTCTTTAAAATTGTTGTACCACTTTGCATTTACTGGCAGGGTATTAGAGTTCTAGTTGTTTCCTTTTCCACCAGCACTAGGTTTTGTTTTAGTATTTTAGTTTTTTTAAGTACTAGGAATTGAATGTTGGGTACTTGAATTGAACTACATTCCTAGCCTTTTGAGATAGGATCTCCCTAATTTGCCGAGATGGGACTTGAATTCGCAATCTTCCTGCCTCAGCCTTTCAAGTGTTGGGATGACAGGCATTTGCTGCTATGCCTGGATTGTTTTTGTATTTAAAAAAAATTTAACCATACTTAATAGTTGAATAGTATTATCTCATTGTGCTTTTAATTTGAATTTTTTACTTCCTTGGATTTAGTCTGAGGGAGCTGAAGAAAAGGTAAACTCACTGCCAGTTCAGTGGTACTTCGAATTTTGCTCTGTTTCTTTAATCCACCTTCTACATTATTTACTTTTCAGAGTATTTGTGTTACTTATTGCCATATAGCAACGAACAAAAATTTTAGCAGCTTCAAACACACATATTTATGATCTCATAGTTTCTACTGTTGTGCAGCAACCCAGGCATGGCTTACTGGGGCCCCTGTCCTTCAAGATCTGTCATGAGCTGCTGCCATCAAGGAGTTGGCTGGGCAGCGGCAATCTGCAGGCTTGACTGAGGAGGGATCCATTTCTAAGATTATGTGGTTATCGACACCATTCAGTCCCCCATAATTTGTTTGACTGAAGACCTTAATTAGCTCTTTGCTGGTTTTTGGACAGAGACTTCTTGGCCTTTGCTGGCGAGCCCCTCCAACATGGCAGCTTACTTCAGTGAAAGTATGCAAGCCGTGAAGGCAATAGTGTCTGCTAGCAAGACAAAGTTACAATCTCTTATAATCTAGACACCATTGCCATATTCTATTAATTACAAGCAAGTCATGAGGTCCAGCCCACACTCAAAGGGTGGGGATCACACCGGGTGTGGATTGACCAGTGGGAATCACCATAGGAGATTGCATCTTAGAGTCTGTCTGTTACAGCCCACAAATGGCTGCTTCATGGATTCTGGACAGGTTTATAGCTTCATTCCATAGGAAACACAGGGTTAAGTGGGTAGATGTTCTTAGCACACTGAAACCGTCTGGGAAGATGTGTGTGTGTGTGTGTGTGTGTTGCTGGGGATGGAATCTAGAACCTTATGCATACTAGGCAAGCATTCTATTACTGAGCTATACCCAACACTTTCTTTGGATTTTTTGATCATGAGCCCCTTGCACTAAAACTTTTTTGAGAATAGACCCTTGACACAGGCATATTCATTTATTCACAGCTAAAGGTACTGAATTCATATTGGTTTTCTCTTGTCCAACAGATGTCTGTACATCTGCTAGAAGGGCAGGTACCCCAATGTTGGAGAGTTAGGAAGTGGTTGGATATGATTGCTTACCATTGACTCTAGCACCAGAAGGCCAGCTGAGAGTTGCCAGAGCTGGAAAGCCAATCTTGTCTGAGCTTCCCTGCTTTGTTGCTAATGGGTATTGAGGTACCAGGGGCCACAAGCAGACATATTCCTTAAATATCCCCCATCAAGAAGATCTGTGCATATTGCTTTTTTCTTACATTCTATGCCCCAATCCAGCTGGTGTCCTGATATTCTAGCATACTCCCCAGTAATGATCAATAATAGGTGCTTCCTATTAGAAGTACTTTGGCTTGGCTGGTTCCAGGAAGCTTGTGAAAAGGACAGCTTTGTGTGCAATGCTCTCTCTCTCTCTCTCTCTGTCTCTCTCTCTCTCTCTCTCTCTCTCTCTCTCTCTCTCTCTCCCTTGTGAGATAGCCCTTTCTTTTTCCTCTGTCTTTGCATAGTTTGTTACTACCACAGACAAACCAAGTGTCCTGGTTTAGATTTCCTCAGTAGCAGAGCCTGAGGCAAGTATTTGACAAGAAATTGATTTGGAAGGTGAAGGCAAGCCATTGGGGAATGGGGAAGTGAGAAAGGAAAGAGAGGCTGTGAAGAAAGGGTAGATTCAGGCAGCAGAGATGGAGACGCAGCCAGTTTTCCATTCTGACATGCCCTCTACCTGCTCTAAGGCTAACTGTGGCTTTATGAGGAATGCAGATCATTCTGATTTTTAGTTTCTCTCTCCTATTTCACATTCTTGTTAAATATGTAGACTATACATGCTTATGAGAACATCCTCTTCTCTCCTCCTCTTTTCTTCTGGCTAATGTCTGTTCAGCCATCAGGTTTGTGTGACACTTCTTTGAGAAAGCCTTCTGTCATCTCTACTTCTGGGATAAAGTTCGTTCTCTCTGTTCCTGTAACATCTTTCAGGTGGACACTAGAGAGTCTGCCATATCATATTACTTTCATTTATTCATGTAATAGATACTGCTTATATGCCTGGCATTGTTATAAGTGCCTGGAGCTTATAATCCAATAGGGGTGACCAATTTTAACAGGTAATTTTGTTTGTTGCCATTTCTTATTTACCTGTGTGTGTTTGCCTCACCCAGTCATGTACATTTTTTTCACTGTTTGTGTCCCGCCAGTGTAGCTCAGTGAACATTTGTTGAATGGACTGGAGAAGCACAAAGCACCTTAGTGAAGGATGATATGGTATTGCCATGCCATGGCCTTTTCCGGAGGGAAACTGATTTCTCAACTTCCCTATTGGCTGTTTGCGTATGAGGATGTGCTCACTGAGAGATAAACTGACCCCTCTGACTGTTGGGGGAACAAATCTGTTAATGAGTGATTTCAGCACCATTTACATGACTTTGTCTATTCTTTCAGTTTTTAGACTAGAAGAACACATTCCTGCTCAAGTACAGAAAGCCAGAGAACATCCAAGAAAAGACTAAAATCTGAGTTTTGCAAACATATGAGGTACTGATCCAGGAAATATAGTGTAATTATTATAAGAAGGGGTTGTTGTGTCAAAGTGCCAAGGTTCAGAGCCCAGCCCTACCCTTCATTTACCATTGAGTTGTGGTTCCTAATGTGTAAGTAGGGATAATAAAGGTACAGTGTATGCCTCATAGGATGGTGTGTGGATTAGATAAGATTAACACATGTGAAATTAGTAGGTACGAGAACACAGTAAGTGCTCAATAGATGTTACTATCATTACTATGCTTTGTTTATATATAACAGTGTTTGTTCATTTAGCAAATGGAGGCTGGCTATAGGACTCCTTGTGGTGCTCAAAGTAACATCTCAGTGTTCTTTGTACAACACAAAAGGTGAAGTTCATTTAAGGCAAATTACAAGCCTTAAATTATATCAAGGATACAGCCAATATAATTCATTATCCATAGGCTGGCCACTAAAATAGCCACCTAGATCTTGAGTTCTTTCTTTCCTTTCCTTTCTTTCTCTAATGAATCAAATATTTGGTGAGTGCCTCTTATGCATCCATTGCTGGGGATGCCAAGAGGAGTGCAGTGGGAATTCCCTTTTAAGATTTGGCATGTAAAAAGGCAAATTACAGCACCCTTCGGGCTCTATAATTGGACACACACATGACTTTGAGAGCCAGGATACAGACTGACTAATTCCCCTTTGGTGATTCAGGAAAGACTTCACACAGAGGAGGTGACATTTGAACAATTGTGTCTCGACATAGCCATTATTTAATCACTGTGAATTGAACAGGTTTGTGTCTGGAGAAGCCAGCCACAGAGCCACATTGTCCACTCTTTTAGGGAAAGCCTGGGTAACTATGCTATCATTTACAATGTGTGTGGCAGCTTCATCAGATCCTTGTCTTGATGTCTCTGCCATGGAAACCTGTGAGGCAGTATTGTCTCATAATGAGGCCCTCTGGTAATATTTAATATGCTAATGAAGTACAGAGCCCAAAGCTCCCTTCCAGTTATTTTTAAAGGGACTTCATTCGATTAAATAGCAAAGTAGGTAACCATTTTGCTAGCTCTCCTCTGGCTGTCAGTTGCAAAGAAGGATAGGGCTAAAGAGCAGCTTGGGTGGGGTTATAAAATGGTTACGCTAGAGTCCTGTAAATTCTGGCTGGCGAACCCTAAAGATAGAAAGCTTGAAAACACACATGGTGTGTAACCAGCTGGGAAGAGTTTGGGGAAGAAAACTGTCGGTGGTGCGACTATAGTCAGCATGAGACTCTGGGAACAAGACCACCCCTGGACTGTGTTGAAAAATAGCCAAACTGTGGCGCTTGGCATCCATCACTGATATGGGCACTGCGAGTTTCCCCATGTGTATTCCTCCTCTTCCTTCTGAAACTCAAGTCAACTTTATTTTTCCTTTCTGCTGATGAAAGGAGGTGAATCTTCCTTTCACAGGTAGGTTCTCCAACAAGAAGCTTGTCGAATGGCTAGGGGAGTACAAAGTCACATGAATGAATTTTCAGCACTGTGCCAGTGGCTGCTCCCTTAAATCCATGTCTTTCTAGTCCTAATGATATTTTGCTTTCCTACTTCCCCTAATTGTACCTAGGTTACCAAAATGTTTTCTAAAATTCATCTTCTGTCAATCCTAAAGAGTGCTTTTCTCCCCTTCGTTTACTGAACTTCTCTTTTCTACTTTGTACTGATGTGGATGATTTCTACAAACAACAGCCTGCTCCTGCCTGAACAGAATGTGGTCCCCTTGGAAGCAGTCATGTGACTGCTAAGACTGCAGCCCATTACTTGAGCATATCTCTTTATCTCCAGGCCAGGAACAGAGAGGAAGGTTGGGTCAGAGAGCTGCAACTCATAGGCCAGCTCAGCCTCTCTGAGATCTGTGTCTGTGGCAGGAAAGCAAAACAGCCAGGTACTGTTCTAGTTGTTTCTTTCTCTTTGTGTGTTTATTTAAACAGGAGCGCTCCTTGCAGAGATGTGAGGTAGGTGGGAGGGGGAGGGAGAGAGAAAGAAGTTAGGGGTGCTCCAGAGAGAGCTGAAATTATACCTTTATTTCAGACCTCCGAATTCCCTCATAGAGAAAGCTTTTTCTCATCTTTTCTTTTTTCTCCTAAAACATCTGGAGTGAGGGAAACCTCTGCACTGGCAAGCATAAGACACAGGTAATGTGTTTGTCCTCAGGTACTCTGGGAAAGCTGAACTCTACATTAGAACCATAGTTTATGCGGCAACAGAAGAGAGAGTGTGAACACCTTGGAGTATATTTATTTCTTAGCAATTTCTCAGAATTTTTTTTTTTTTAGAGATGCTGATTATAAGTCAGCTGTCATCATTAAAAAAAGGGCACACAGGTGACTTTGCAATCTGAAGGGCCATGGCCTATTTCAAATTTAGTTGGCATTTAGAAAAACTCTCACTTAGGTGAGAGCTAAGGAAATGAAGGATAGGACACTTTGAGAAACCGTGCTGGGCAAGAGGGCCTGCATGGGGTAACCCCCGAACTCCAGCATACAGTTTCTTATTTCAAAATCTTCCTTTAGCTTCTTTGGCGTCTTGTAATCTTAGAGGACCATAATCTTTTAGTGAGCGTTTTTGTTCTTTAAAAATTAAATAGAGCAAGTCTTCAGTTCCATCACTCATCAGCTGTGTCAAAGAGTATGCTGTTTCATTTCTGAGCCTCAGTTTCTTCATTTGTAATGTGGAGGTGATAATACTACCTTGGGAGTTTGCTGTGAAGATTTACTGGAATAATAGAAATATAAAACACTTACTGTGCTGTGTGCATAATCGTCCCTTAACAAAGAGTCGTGATTTTAGCTGTTATTGTTATTACTGGTATAGTATTTTTTCAGATCTTGGAACTCTGGGAGGAGGGAGGAAGCATAACTCTTTGTGGATTTTCAATTATCCCAGAATTTACAGACTTGCAATGGGTATAGTCTCTGGGAGGCAGCAAGGAAGGGGTTCTGAAGAAAGATACTTGTGTAAAGACAGTATGGGTATCCACTGATGCATGACTTTTCCTAACTCATCCATTAAGAAGAATCACTCTTTGTTCAAGCCAATTTTGCCCACCACTGAACTCCGCACCAAGTCCTCTGTACCTTCAGCATGGTATGCACTATTATTCTTGTTTGATCAGGAGGAAACTGAGGTACAGAGAAATTAACCACAAGCTGAGAATTCAAACTCTGGTTGTCTATTCTAAACTCAAGGCTCTCCTGAGCCAGGATTAGGCAGTTAGAAATGACAGTTGTTCTCAAGATACTTTACCTCAAAAGGATCTTTTCCTGAGCTCTTTGAGAAACCATAGTCAGCTCTGTTTTAGAGATTCATAATGCACATTGATCTGTTGAAAGCTCTGAGAAGTTCTGCAGTAAAGGAACCTGTTTAACCTTACCACTTCCAAATTTCTCAGATAGTGGGACCCTTTTTGCTTTATTCTTAGAATCATAAGCCACATTGACAATCATGCATTGGAAAACTTGACACCAGACCAAGTTATTCCTTATTACAATCATTTCTGGTGTACCAACAGACATCTTCCAGTGCTTGGTATAGTTTCTCCCCCTTTCCTATATTTTCATTTGATGAGACCCAGTAAGAATCACCCATTCAGTCTTATTCATTTGTAAGACTGTTTTTATTCATTTAAGCCCCCAGGCACGAGCAAATGTTGCAGTGTTCTGTAGGAAGAAGGGTGGTAGAAGTGCCCTCTCCAGTCCAGCTTTCTAGATTCCTCTACCCTACCCTATGCCCCTTAATTCTATTTAGACCACAGACATCAGGCTGTAAAACTCCTATTTCAAGGAATACATATATTAAAAAAGGCAGAAGATGGCTCTGACAAGGTGTCTTTACCTTGTGTTAGCGTCTGCAGTCCGAGGCAGAAGAATTAACTACTCATGGTCAGGGTTGCTGAGCCAAGGTGTGGGAATAGGATAAAGATGCATTTTGAAACCAAATAATGCTAAGAATGAAAAAAAACAACTGGGGGAAGCTGGGCTAGCATTTGGAGAGTGCTTCAGCAGTGGAGGTTAGGCTGGCTCCAAGGGCCGTCTTTTGTTCTTTCTTTGTGTTTTCAGCTTTGGAAATGGAAGTGTTTAGGATAAAAAAAGACTGAAGAACATCAAGCAGTTCTACCCTCCAGTCCCCCTACCCCATACATGCACAGTAAAAACCTTTTAGTTGAAGCCATTCCTTTTGCAGATTGCACGTGAGTGCCAATGATGAGTCACTATTTCATATTTATGTTTTCAAACCATCTTTGTTATATATCGGAAAGAACAGCAGGCCTGGGCAAGTCACAAGATGTTTTTGTTTGTTTTTTGCTAAGATCCATCCTAGTGGTTCATGTGTGATGAGGATACCTGGGGCCTTTGAGATCCATGCAGAAGCCCCCACCTCTTGAGCCTTGAAATAATTTGTTAGTAGGTTTGATGCTATGTTAGCCCTCCTGATGCTGACGGAGAGTGGGAATGAAAGAAGCTTAGATTTTTTCCAAGTACTGGAAAGTCTACAAGTCATCTTCATCAGCTTTCTAGTCAGTCAGAGGCATCCTCAAAGACACCACATAGGCTGTTGACAAACCTATTTCCCCTTCTACTCAGGTCTGAGTTGGGCAGCATATCACTTTAATCAGCTCATGCTTTGTGAAGAACTAAAAAGAAGCAATCCTTTCTCTTTTTCTAACCTGTTGTCTGTGAGGGAAAAACAGTTTAGAAATAACATAATAATTAGTAATATAACAATTCTAATGGCCAATTATTTTTCTAATAGACAACCTAAGAATTTTAGAACTATTATCATTTCTTTCCATCATGATTTTTAAAAAGTCATTTAATCATTACCTATTTTCTGCTTTTATAAAAGGCTTTTATATAATCAAATAGCACGTATCTCTGCACAAAATGAGACACTAATGACTTTTAGCAATTCATTTTTTAAAGGGCTCTGGCTTAGAAATATTCATTCCTTTATTCATTTATCCATTCAGCATTTATCAAAAAA